GGGGGCGGGGGGGGGCAGGAGCAGCGCGTTGTGGCCGGTCCGCACTCCAGAGCCGCCTCCCCCCGCGCGGCCCGGCTGCGCTAGAGTCCGAGACCGGGACTGGCCTCGTGAGAGGGGGTCGTCCTCGGCTGCGAGGGGGGATTGCCCACGGGTGTTTGTACGGGGTGGGGTGTGGATATCCACATATACACTTGTACACGTATACACATACGTGTGCACGTTGGTATACATACATTGAAAGCGTGCCTGTGGCAGTGCACATACACTTCTGCCTGTTCGCGCACACCTGCATGCACGCACACAAACAGATGCACACTATGCACATGCACAGTATACACATGCACCCCCATGCACACATGTTGTACCCTATATGCTACAGGTGCACTGTGTGTATACACCTACTCATGCAGATGCGTGTGCATGCATGTACGTACACACACGCACATACATGCATGTATGTGGCTGCATGGGCTCACATACCGAGTGCATGAGCGTGAGGCGAGCACCGGGTGGATTTGGGCACTCGATCCCCAGAGCGGTGGGTGCGGGGGACAGCGTTTGGTGGAGTCGCCCTTTACGCCCAGGGAGGTGAATCCGGGCGACCCCTTTCCCTGGAAGCTCGTGGGCACGTGCAGGCGTCGCTGGTGCTGCTCGTTTCCCCTCGCCCGTGCTGCCTGCCCTGCTGGACGCGGCCCAGGTGTACGAGTTAAGGTTGGTTCAATACTTAGGTTTCTGCAGTAACCTTAGCAGTGGTGTTGGTTGTGGTACGCACCACGTGGACTCACTGAATCAGATGCGTCAGCTTTTGTAAGCATCTGGCAAAAATAAACTTTTTTTTACAGCAACATCCCAAATAAAGAGACCTTATAAGATTGTCTGGGTGCATGGAATAAGTAAGTCTCAGCTGGGCTCCTTTGTGATATTAGCTCTATTAGGCATGTAAACACCTGCATGTGATTCACAAGATAAGCCTCGAGGTTTCAGGCAGGAAGCCGTAGCATCAGAAGCCGTTCGTATCTGCTGTGGTCTAAGCTCTTGGCAAGAGGTAGGGGTGGGAGTCAGTCTACTATTTTTCATAATGAAAAACTGAGTGAAATTAGTTTTTGAAATGCAGGTGCCACAAAACTCAGGCAAGTTGCAGAAGGGCGCCTGGAGCCGAAACAGGCTGAGAAACCACTGTACTAGGTACAGGAAGCCACGATGATAGCTTTCTCTACAGCATCTTAAATAGCAACTGGATATATTTTTCATGCCTGTTAATGGGGACTGATTTCAGAAATGCTACATTAAGTAGGACTGGAATTGTCTCCTTGTGTCTCCAGCACTTGACACTCCTCGCTTCCCGCTCCAGCGCTCTGCGCGGTCTTCCCCAGGGCACTCACGTTCCTGGTTATGCCTCTGGCTTTGCTTACGCAAAAAGCTGAACCAGTTTAACTCTGGTTTACTCAATCTGGTGAATTTAAGCTGGTGCACACCAATTCACAGGTGCTTTTCTAGGTGTAGCTTGTGTTGATAACTTTTTTAAACCAATTTTAATTAAATAGGCGCAATATCTTGCTAGGTGAGGCTTGAAACATCATTTCCCACACCCTTTGCATGGTCATGCATGCACATAGGAAAAGAAAAGAGAAAGTGCTTGATGCAGTTACGGAACCACTTTGATTCCAGTTAATTTACTACATATCCGCTCCCTGACACAGGAAGTTGCTTGGCTTACCTTTCTAATAGGATCTATTCATTTAGCAATAGCAGTTATAATTATGCTTTAAAAATACTTACAGTAAAATCTGATTTCACATGCTCCTGCATTTCGGGGGGAGGGGAAAAATCTTGAATAGAAACTCAAAAAATCTTGAATAGAAACTCTTACTTCTTGAATGAAACTTCCCATGCTTCAAAGCTAAACAGAATTATTGAAAATTAGGGTTGGAAGGGACCTCAGGAGGTCACCTAGTCTAATGCCCTGCTTGAAGCAGGACTACCCCCAACTATATCACCCCACCAAGGCTTTTAAAATTTCCAAGTGAACATAAGTAATAGGTTTAGATGCCAAAAATGAGTCCAGTAAGGCAGTTATTTTAGTACTGTAGTGTATATGAATCATTGTGTTCCTGTTAACTTGAACATGTAGGAAGAATTATATTTATCAGTCTTCTTTTGTTCAATAGAAACCAAAAGACTTATCTAGACAGAATTGTGGTGGGGGGATATTTATTCTAGTTTTTGCTATAATTTTAAATCTTCCAATTTGAATGTTGTATCACTGGGATTTTTACCTTTAAATGGGTAAAGTATTGTCATGAAATACTGTATGATGCCCACCCAAAGAGAAGGTACAATGTATTTTAAGGTTGGGAAATTATATTAGAGCAAACAGAAGCAAAAATGTCTAGCCAAACCAATAATTACCCTTCCATGAATACTAGATTCTGTCTCTCACCTGTCTAAACTCTTTCCTCTGGTGAGATAGTATCATCTTTACATTAATCTTAGGATTTAGTATGGGATAGTTTTAAAATTGCTCTTCTGTGTAAAGTTAAGACTAACAGTCCTGATTTCCTCAATGCTGAAAAAAGCCCCTCTTCTTCCTGATTTACATACTTAGAAACATGTTTCTGTTTTAACAGTGATTGAGGGAGGTTGGGTTTTTTGCTTTTGTTTTGGCAAGTCTCTGCTTTTACATTGGTATGTGGTATCATGACTGATAGG